CCTTCTCCTCTGCACCTTCCCCTGCACCCCTCTCCTGCCTCTCCTCTGCCTGCCTCCCCTGCCTCTCCTCCCCACCTTTCCCTGCCCTCTCCTCCCATGCCTTCATACCCCTCTCCTGCCTATCTTCCCCTGCACCCTCTCCCCTGCACCTCTCACTCTGCCTGCCTCCCCTGCCTTCTCTCCTCCCCACCTTTCCCTGTATCCTCTCCTCTGCCTACCTTCCCCTACCCTCTCCCTCCCACCTTTCCCTGCACCCTCTCTTCTGTGCACACTTCCCTACCTTCTCCTGCCCTTCCCCTGCACCCTCTCCTCTACCTGCACCCCCTGCCTTCTCTCCTCCTCCACCTTTCCCTTCCACCCTCTCCTCTGCCTACCTTCCCTGCACCCTCTCCTCTGCCTACCTTCCCCTACACCCTCTCCCCTCTACCTTTCCACTGCCCTCTTTTCTGTACACCTTCCTGCCCTCCCCTGCACCCTTCCTTGTGTCCCCTCCCCTCCCTACCCCACCTTCCACCGCCCACTCCTCTGCCTCCCTCCCTACACATCACATACACACAGCCCTCTGCCCAAGCACACCTGCACTGAGCTTCAGTCTCAGCCGTGCGCTGCCACCCTCCCACACAGCACACTTCCTACCACACACAGCTCCCGTTACCTGCAAACCCAGGCTACAGACCCTCACACACCTTCTGAGTATATACAACACCCATTGCGACACTTGTCACAGAGCCCAGGACTACAGGCACCCCACAGCACACACACTGTACCTCACACCCACCCTTGGCCGTGATCATACCTCACAGCCTCCTGCTCTCGCACTCTCTCACACACACATACACATGCATGCATGGGTCCTGTGCCCTTGAGCCTCCTCTCAGCCAGGCCCTGAGAGCAACAGGAAGGTACAGAGTCACCTGGTTCCCGTTCCTATGCTTTCCTCCGGGGGGCAAGTGTTGGTCATTGATGTGCCTTTGGGAACAAACTCTCGCCTCCGCTGAGTCCCAGGGAGTGTCCACAGCACCAAAAACTTGCTCTGGGTGCATCCACCAAGCACAGTGGGGACTGCAGCTTGTGTTTATGTGTATTTTAATCAGAACTTTCCTGTAGCTTCCAGCCTTTGCAGTCATCCTCTCTAAACCTAAACCCCCACCCAGGCACCCACCCTTCCCTAGGCGGGCAGGACAGGCAGTTGGTGATTCTCACCCGCCTGCCCCAGCTCTTCACTGTAGCTCTGAGTCAAGCAGCTCCTTCCTCTGAGGCCCGCCCCAACCCACCCAGGCACGGCACTTTCCTCTGTGCTGTGTGTGTGTGTGTGTTGTGTGTGTGTGTGTTGTGTGTGTGTGCTGTGTGTGTGTGTTGTGTGTGTGTGGGGTGTGTGTGTGTTGTGTGTATGTGTGTGTGTTGTGTGTGTGTGTGCTGTGTGTGTTTGTGTTGTGTGTGTGTGTTGTGTGTGTTGTGTGTATGTGTGTGGTGTGTGTGGTGTGTGTGTGGTGTGGGTGTGTGTGTGAGCCATGTGTGTGTTGGTGTGTGTGTGGTGTGTGTGGTGTTGTGTGTTTGTGTTGTGTGTGTGTGTGTTGTGTGTGTGCTGTGTGTGTGTTGTGTGTGTGGTGTGTGTGGTGTGTGTATGTGTGTGGTGTGTGTGTGGTGTGTGTGTTGTGTGTGTGTGTGTGGTGTGTGTGTGGTGTGTGTGTGGTGTTGTGTGTTTGTGTTGTGTGTGTGTGTGTTGTGTATGCTGTGTGTGTTTGTGTTGTATGTGTGTGTTGTGTGTGTGGTGTGTAGTAATTTAGTAGTATTGCTGTGTGTGTTTGTGTTGTATGTGTGTGTTGTGTGTGGTGTGTGTGTTGTGTTGGTGTGTGTGGTGTGTGTGTTGTGTGGGTGTGTGTGGTGGTGTGTGTGTGGTGTGTGTGTGTGTGGTGTTGTGTGTGTTGTGTGTGTGGTGTGTGTGTGTTGTGTGTTGTGTGTGTTGTATTATTGCTGTGTGTGTGTTGTGTGTGTGTGTGTTATTATTATGCTGTGTGTGTTTGTGTTGTATGTGTGTGTTGTGTGTGTGGTTGTGTGTTGTGTGGGTGTGTTAATGTGGTATGTGTATTATTGACTGTGTGTGCTGTGTGTGTTTGTGTTGTATGTGTGTGTTGTGTGTGGTGTGTGTGTTGTGTCAATTATTGTGTGGTGTGTGTGTGCTGTGTGTGTTTTTGTGTGTGTGTGTGTTGTGTGTGCTGTGTGTGTTTGTGTGTGGTGTGTGTGTGGTGTTGTGTGTGTGGTGTTGTGTTTGTGTTGTGTGTGTGTGTTGTGTGTGCTGTGTGTTTGTGTTGTGTGTGTGTGTTGTGTGTGTGTGTGTTGTGGGGCTGGGGGTGCTCAAGCGGGCAGGTTCCGGGCCAATGAGTGGGGGTCCTCCAGCCAGAAGACCCCCGCCAGGGCCATCCTGCGCACACACAAGGAGGACTGGGCACCGTGCAGCAGGCCTCCCAGATGCCACACTAGGACTCACTCAGGAGCCAAGGGCAGGGCCATCCTGCGCACACACAAGGAGGACTGGGCACCGTGCAGCAGGCCTCCCAGATGCCACTGGGACTCACACTCAGGAGCCAAGGGGCCAGCCGGTTTGCTCTCTGGTGTGCCTCTGACCTCTGACCCCGGGGAACGGGGACCTTCAGAAACTCCCAGTCAACAATGGGGCTCCGGCAGAGCTCGTCAGCCCTATCCCGGTCCCTCTCCCAGGCCCCGCATGGGTGAGCAGTTGCAAGGGGCTATGGCATCTTGCGGACCTTCCCTTCAGGCTGGGGTGGGAGGGCAGCGCCCCCTTTTCCAGATAAGGAGCAAACACAGGTGGCTGAGGATCCTGGCTCAGAGCAGGTGAGGGGCAGACGGCATCTCCTGTTGTCACCACACTGACACCCCCCAGGTTGACCTGGGACTCGGGACCCAGTGACCGGTGGCTCGTGCTGCCCACAGAATCAGACAAGGGTCTCCTTTGGCCTCTGGCCCTGCCCTCAGCCACATGGGGGCAGGGCTTCATCATGAAGGGTCTGCCCTCCAGCCTCCTGGCCCTGGCTAGGCAGCCTCACAGCAGCAGGCTTTCTCCACCTACTTACCTGCCTGAGTCTCAGCCCTGCTAGGACCCTCCTGTGTCCCGGCACTCAGCCTAGGGTGATGGTGGACCTTGGGCTCAGGATCGTAAAGAGCTGGACGGGACAGCATCCCTTCCCCCACAGATCCTGGTACCAGCCCCTCCTTGAAGTGGGCCCTTGGAAGCCCCTCGAGAAGGTTCTCCCCACACTGCAGGTCAGGAAGCAGGCACAGCAGAGCCCAGGGCACCCCCGCAGGAAGCGGGAGCAGGGCCTCCAGCATAGGCCCCGCGGTCAGCCGCCACCTCCGAAGCCCGGGCTGGGCGGCTGCTCTGTGCACCGGTCTCGGCGTCACCATCTCTCAGGGCTGGCTTGAGGTGACTTGCAACCCCTCCTTCCCTCTCTCTGCTAAAGTCCTCCGCCCCCGAGCCCCCAAGTCCACCGTCCAGGGTGAGCATGAAAACCCACAGTCTCCGACCCTCGCCCGCACAGCTCTTTCGAGGTGCCCAGAATCTCGGTCCAAGCCTGGCCCTGGTCGCCTCGCACTGCCCACCGCACTCTGCTGGGCACCCTGAGGTCCTTAGAAAGCGCCAGCTCCTCCCGCCCTCAGACCCAGCCAGCGCCCTCGGTGCGCGGCCGCCCCTGCCCGGTGGGTTCGGTGCTCAGCACCCGGCAGCCTGCGGGCGACTCCCGCTCAGCTCGGACGGCCGCCCCTCCGCTCCCCGCGCGCGCTGGGCCCCCTGCGCCGGTCCTGAATCAGGAACGTGGGCAACAGGCCGAGGGGCTCCGTTTCGCTCCCCTACCTCGTACCCACATGCGCCCTGGGCACCCTCCAGGTGCGGAGGGAGGAGGACTGGGACGCGCGCGGGGGGCGGGCACGGGGGTGCGGCTCGGGGCGCTCGGCCCGGGCAGAGGCGCGCGGATGGCGGAAGCTCCACCCGGCGCCCGGCGAGCTCGGGCCCCAGCCTGACTCTTGGTCCGCCCTCGGCGCCTCAGGAAGCCTCGAGCTGGGATCCCGGCTTGGGGGACCGAGGTGGGATCCCCGCGAGCCTCGGCGCTCCTCGCCACGCTCTGTTCTGCGCCGAGGGTCACCAAAAAGCCGCTGACCACGTCCGGCAGAGGAAAGGGCGGCCCCCGCCCCCTTCGCCCACTTTCCTCCCTTCCCCCAGGCCTGGAAGGGGCCAGGACGCGGGCGAGCTCGGGCTTCCGGGCGACGCGGGAACCTCCCCGGCCCCGAGCCACTTCCTGAGAGACCGCGCCCAGGGACCAGCAGCGCCCCGGGCCCCCGATTCCAGGCCTGCAGCGGCTCTGGGAGGACAGCGACCTCCACTCACCTTCGCGGGTCTGATCGCGACCGCCACTCACCTGCTGCCAGGACTTGGGCTCGCGCGGGGCGGGGGCGGGGCAGCTCACCTGAGCCAGGTGCGCAGCGGCAACAGCCCCGGCGGCGGCAGCAGGTGCGGCCCCGCCCCGCAGTCAGGGCGGGGGCGGACCCCAGCGTCCCGCTCTGCGCCCGAGGCTGGCGCTGGAGGCTGCACTGCTGCCCCGGAGCCGCTGCCAGTGGCCAAACCAGCCCAGCCAACCTGCAGAGCCCCGGAGCCCCAGAGCCTTGGGGACTCTTCGGAGCGTCCACCGCCCTCAGGGTTCTGCGCGCCCGCCCCTAACTCTTCCCTTTCCTCCAGGAAGCCTGTCTTGACCCCCACCTGACCCCCAAGTGACCCCGATGTCTTCTCTTGCTACCCTCAACACCCCAGGTGCAGGGAGGAGAAGACTCCCATAGGCGCCCCTCCCTTGGAACCTATAGAAAACCGGAGAAGGGACAGGCGGCCTGCGGCGGCCTCACCTGCTTCCAAACCTTCCACACTCTGGGTCTCAGTTTCCCATCTGGCCCTGAGGGCAGATATAATCCACCCGGGACCCAGCCAGGCCAGGAAAGCAAGACAGACAGGTTTAATTTTATTACAGAAGCTGCTGCTGGCTGAAGGGAACAGGCCAGCAAGGTGGGCTCAGGCTACCCCCAATAGCCAGGATGGGGGCATGGCTGGATCTGGCGCCCAGAAGTCAGAGGGAGGCCCAGGAAACTTGCGCCAGTTTTCCTGCCTTGTGGCTGCCTGAGGAGCCCCCCACTCCCAGTTCTGTGGGTGCCTGGAATCACCCAGAGTTCAAGTCAGGTCTGTGCCAAGCCTGAGAGCCTCCACAAAGACGGAGCAGGCGGAACAGGCCGGCAGCTCCCAGATGCCCTGAACATACAGGGGACTCCTGTGGCCCCCCATAGGCATGGCCTTCTTACAGCACCCCTCAACACGCATAGCGGTGGGCTGGTGGGAGGTGCTGGTGGTGGCACCGTCTCAGCTCCTAGTGGCCTCTAGACGGGCTCTGGCCCTACACGTCTGTGCTCCTGGCACTGAAGATGGAGGTTGGGGTGGGATGGGCGGGCATCGGGGGCTGAGAGCCTGCCCCTACCCCGCCCAGCCTCTGCCTTCCATGCCACATCTTCTCACGCAGCCTCTGGTACTTCACCTCCAGAACCTTGTTCTTCACTGACTGAGGGACGTCGGGCACGAACCAGGCGGCAATGAGCTTGATGCACAAAGCCACATGCTAGGGGCAGCACAGGAGAGGTCCGGCAGGATCAGGCGCCAGCAGGCATTTGGGGGTTCCGGGCCGGGGAGGAGGGCTGGAGGGAGAACTGCCCAGACCCACTCCAAGGCCTCTCCCGGTTCCGGCTCACCTCAAAGAGGATGACGAAGGCCAGGCGGATGGCCAGGAGGAACCAGAACTGCTCGGAGAAGTTGTAATCGGGGGGATTGCGGTAGTCCCTGTATCTGGGGTAAGGAAGTACCTGAGGTCAGGGGTCAGGAGTTCAGAGGGCATTCTTGGGGGATGGGGAGTTCCAAACCTGCACAGAGTCACGTTTTCTGAGCCCTCAATCCTATCCGGGTCCTGGAAGTCCTTGGTGTGGAAGACAGACAGGCTGTGGTTGACGTAGCCCTTGAGGCAGCTGGGGAGAGGGGAGAAGATTGTGGGGTGCGGTGTCTTCCAGGGCGGCCCCTTCAGGCCCCAGGGTGCTTCTAGCTTGTGTTATGGAGCAAACAGTGAGGTGGGGGCCACACCACAGACTGCCTCCAGTGGGACGGGGGTCCCAGGCCAAGCACATCTTCACATCCAGGGGCTTGGGGGTGCTGTGGGGACTCTGGACATCACCAGCCACTTTCCCTGCCAGGGACTGACCCTGGGGACCCAGTCTGGCTTGGTGGTTCCTCCAGGTCAGAGAGTTGGATAAATCAGAAGAGGACATGCAGAACCTCACATCGGGAGGGAGCCGTTCTGGCAGGGCCTGCTCGGGAGGCAGCCAGGTCTGGAACTTCACCCCCAACTGCAGTCCTGGCCAGTCATCCCTGATCTCCAGTGCAGGGCCTGCAGTCAGTGGGCACAGGGCAGGGGCCACCCCCAGGCCCCAGCCTCATTAAAGCCCCAGGGGGTATTGACAGATCCAGCCATTCCCAGGAGAAACAGTCTGGGTTTCCCCAGGGCTTGGCTGTCGCGGGGCCAGTTTCCCCTCGGGGTCTCCAGACACTGTGAGGCCTTACTCGACGGTGGAGTTGGCTTCTTTCAGGCATGGGCTATAGCGGTACTTGTAGACCACGCGGGGGATGAACTCAGATGTGAAGGCGATGACCATCCCGTTGGCAATGACCGCCAGCACACCGATGGTCTCCAGCACCTGCAGCCAGGTCCCTGCACCAGAGCAGTGGACAAGCGGTCTGACTCGTCTCCCTCGGCTGGTTCTGCCCCCACCCCCACCCCGGCCAACGAGGGGCCTGCCATGTCTCTGTGCATGGTGTCCCATTGCAGCCCTAGGGCCACAGTATTCATGAGGAAGTCTCCAGCCATGGCAGAGCATGGCCTCAGCGCTCCTGCATCCCTCACCCTGACGTGGACAGGGAGGGACCCAGGACCCTCATCCCTCCATCTTCCTGAACTTCTCCCCCAAGCCGCTCCACCTCGTGGGTTCCCACCCCAGGGTAAGACCTTGTAACCTGGGCCCCAAGACTGGGGGCCTCCCTAACACCTCTCTCCCTTTCCCCACATCCAGCGCCCCAGCCCCTGTGGCTCCCCTGCTGCCTGTCCGTCTCAGCGTGACCAGTCTTGGGACAAAGGCCGGCTGCTCTGCTCCTGCCCCAGCCACTGGCAGAACCTGGGTCCCGCCTGGGGACTTCAAGCCCCTCCGTGAGATCCTGAAGGTTTGTGGGAGGGGCCTACAAAGCGCCCCGCCCCGCCCACTCTGGGACCCTCCCACCCAGGCTCAGCCCACATCCGAGGCCGAGGCCATCAGAGGAGGGCTGGGGGCTGTCTGCGGTGTGAGATCCAGCGGAGCCGGCGTGGCCAGCGGGAAGCCCACAGGCCTGAGGCCGCCCGGGTCCCACCCATCCTGCACCCGCGGGGCCTGACCGATGTCCTTGGCCTTGCGCGGCACCAGGCGCCGCTGCAGCCAGACCATCTTGATGGCGTCGAGGCGGATCTCCACGAGGTTGCTGAAGAGCGCGAGCAGCGGCGCCAGCGGGAAGGCGGCCACGAAGATGGTGGTGAAGCCGTACTGGATCACTGCGGGGCGGGGGTCAGGCTCGCCGGCGCCCCGCGCTCGTGGCCGTGGACCCCCGCCCCGCATTCGTCTCGCGAACCCCCGCCCCGCAGCGCCCACGCACTCATCTCCATGAACTCGTCGAACAGGCTGAAGGTGTTGACAGAGTTCAGAAGGTAGTTGCGCCGCCAGTCCCTGAGCTCGGGGTCCCGGGGCAGGTGCCCGGCCAAGGAGGCCCGCAGAGAGCGGAACTTGTGGCTCACCCACCTGCGGGGAGAGCTGCGTGGCGGGGAGGGCGCAGGGGTGGAGGGGCCTGGGGCTCCCGGGGCTGGGCGGGGTCGGCACTCACGGCCTCAGGTACTCGCAGCAGTTGCTGAGTGTCTGCTTCAGGCCCATGATGATGGCCATCTGCAGGAACAGGTCCATCATGCAGCCGCTGGCGTGGCACTGCGGGGCCAGAGAGGAGGGGTCAGGAGGGGTCCTGGGAGGGCAGGGGGGCAGGTCCACCATGCAGCTGCTGGCGTGGGACTGTGGGGCCAGACGGGGGAGGGGATCAGGGAGGGGTCCTGGGGGACGGTCAGGGGAGCAGTGGCCTGAAGCCTGGGGGTGACTGACCTCTTCCAGCTTCCACAAGCCTGCCAGGCGCGTGGACTTCCCGGGGTGGCCGTTGATCCTGGGGGGGAAGGGGAGGTCTGGGGCACTGCAGGCCTGCCTCGGACAGGGTGGGTGCAGCAGGACAGAAGCAGGGAGGAAAGAACAGGCAGGGCAGGCCCTGCAGGTGAGCGGGGCACAAGTGCTCACATCCAGGCGAACCACACCCACACGTGGACGTGCACACACACACACACACACAGGGGAGGCCAAGGCTCCCAGACGAACCGCACCCGCATGTGGGCGCGCACACACACACACATGCAGGGGAGGCCACAGGCTCTGACACGTGCTCCAGACACTGTCTGTTACAGGTGGCCTCAGTTTCTCCCCCTGGAAACGGCGCATTGGGTTATTTTGTGTTTAAAATCACTTGCTTTCCATAATATGAGAAATACATGAACTATCTTAAACCAAAAGTCAGGCTCGTGGTCAGTGGTGAAATCCGAAAGCATTCCTATTGTAGCTCACGACAACCGGTATTTAACACGGTTCTGGAATTCCTTGCAAATCAGCAAGAGAAATATAAAGTATAAATAGTATACATTTGCAAAGGAAACAATGGCTCTTTTTAGAAAACATGATTATATACCTGGAAAATCAAAATAAAACAACTGAAAGGCTGGGTGGATAAATCAATCGGGTGCTCAAGTGGATACAAAGTGAGCATCTGGCAGCACTGGCCTGTCTGTGTGGGGAAAAGCTGCAGGGAAATGTGGCACGAGAAAGCATCGGTCGCCTGCAGACACCAGCACCAGTTATACCATAACGAGACTGAAACTCACAAGGCATCTGTGGGGCCTACATGAAGAAAACTATACAACTACTAAGGAGCATGAAAGACTTGCGTGGAGAACCTTGTTCTTCCATAAGGAAACGCAGGAGGTATTTGTAGTCAGAGCGAGGGGCCACAAAGACATCCACGTGCTCATTCTTGGAGCCTATGACCACGTTCTTACCTGGCAAAGGAATTTTATCTCACACGGCAGATGGGATTAAGGCTGCGAATCAGCTGGCTTTAAGATGGGGAGATTATCTCGGGTTATCTGGTTTTCCCGGTGTAATCACAAGGGTCCCTCCATGGGGACAGGGAGCAGCTGGGAGTTGGCCTGACTCAGAAGGACTCAGGAGTCAGGAGGACTCAGGACCCAGAAGGACTCAGGACCCAGAAGGACTCAGGACCGAGGAGGACTCAGGATTATGAGAACCTCATTCTTTCCAAGGGCAAATGTGAGAGAGGCATTTGTAGTCAGAGCGAGGGGCCAAAGACATCCACTCCAGCCTGCCAGCGCTGGCGCTCCAGCAAGGCCTGCTCGGGCGGTTTGGGCTGCCAAAGCGCCCATCTCCCGGGGGACAGGAAGAAGCCGCGTGACCAGACCACGCCTTCTCTCTTAACCGGGTGTCAACGCGTACACCACTTCTTCCCGTCAACAAAACACCATCTCCTGGTAATGACAGGTAGTGTGTAGTATCTCACACGGCAGATGGGACAAGTGGGGCTGCGAATCAGCTGGCTTTAAGATGGGGAGAGAGATTATCTCAAGTTATCATTTTCCCCGGTGTAATCAAGGGTCCCTCCATGGGGACAGGGAGCAGCTGGGGAGTTGGCCTTGAATCAGAAGGGACTCCAGGAGTCAAGACTCCAGACCCTGTGAAGGACTGGTGACCTGGAAGCGACTCCATGGCAGACCTCCCGAAGGACTCAGGACCCAGAAGGACTCAGGACCGAGGAGGACTCAGGAGTCAGAAGGACTCAGGACCCAGAAGGACTCAGGACCCAGAAGGACTCAGGACCCAGGAGGACTCAGGACCCAGAAGGACTCAGGAGTCAGGAGGACTCGCGACCCAGGAGGACTCGGGACCCAGAAGGACTCAGGACCCAGAGGGACTCAGGAGTCAGAAGGACTCAGCCCCACACTACAGGCTCTGCAGGGGGAGGAGCAGCCATGCACCAAGGAGAAGCTGAAAACGAATTCTCCCCTGGGGCCTCCAGAAGGAGCCCAGCCCTGCTAACCCCTTGGTTTTCAGCTGGTGGGACTCATCTGGGACTTGTGGCCTGCAGAACTGGGAGGTAATAATTTGACTGTTTGAAGCCACTAAGCTGTGGTCATTTGTTATGGTGATTTTCTTGGAAATAATGTATCATTTTACTTCTACGATCTTAAGCCAAGTCCCACAGTCCCACAGTCCCACAGAATTTTTTTTTTTTTTTTTTTTGAGATAGAGTCTTGCTCTGTCGCCCAGGCTGGAGGGCAATGGCGCGATCTCGGCTCACTGCAAGCTCTGCCTCCCGGGTTTAAGTGATTCTCCTGCCTTAACCTCCTGATTAGCTGGGATTACAGGCGTGCACCACCACGTCCGGCTAATTTCTGTATGTTTAGTAGAGACGAGGTTTCACCCTGCTGGCCAGGTTGGTCTCAAACTCCTGACCTCATGATCCGCCCACTTCAGCCTCCCAAAGTGCTGGGATTACAGGCGTGAGCCACCGCGCCCAGCCAGTCTCACAGAATTTTTAGGTAATTTGACAAAATGATTCTGACATTCATCTGAAAGAATGAACATACGTAAATAATCATTAAAAAAGTAGAAAAGAAGAGTGATGGACAGCAGCTAGCCCCACCCTACAGTAAGGCATAAAGCAAGAATACCCAACACAGCAAGAGGCTAGCCCTGGACTTGTCAGAATCCATGAAAAGACAATATATAAGCAAAGAATGGAATTTGGGGTATGATGAAGAAGGCATTTCAAACAGGCTTCCCTCATTTCAAACAGGCTTCCCTCATTTCAAACAGGCTTCCCTCCTCTGCCCCTTGCAGCAAAACAAATCCCTTACAAGTCAGGGATTTGAACGTTTAAGGTTTTTTTTTTTTTTTTTTTTTTTTTGAGACAGGATCTCTGTCACTCAGGCTGGAGTGCAATGGTGAGATTATGGCTCACTACAGCCTCCACCTCCCAGGCTCCAGTGATCCTCCCACCTCAGCCTCCCAAGTAGCTAGGACTACAGGCCCACACCACCACACCCAACTAATATTCTATTCTTTGTAGAGATGTGCAGTGGGGGCTGGTGGGGGCAGTGGCATGAAAAAATAGAACCATAAAGGAACGTATTGTCAAAAAGAAAATTTGCTGTAGTGTAACATGGGAAACCAGATACATTTTCACCTCTGTTTTCCAAGAGACCCCCTGTGCAAAGAGGCACTGCCTAGAACTAAGCTCTAGAGCCAGACTTTGGGGTTTTTATCTGTTCCACCACCCACTGGCTGTGTGTCCTAGAGACAGTTTCTTAACCTCTCTGATTCTCAGTCATCTAATCTGTAGATCAGCTGTGCCCTATAGGGCTATTGTGCAGATTAAATGAGTTAATGATAGAATGTGTGAGTGTGCAATGGATGTAGCTACTATTATGCCACTCCTCAAGATTAATAAATATGTTCAACTGTGGGCCAGGTCCAGTGGCTCACACCTGAAATCCCAGCATTGGGAGACTGAGGCAGGCAGATCACTTGAGGTCAGGAGTTCAAGACCAGACTGGCCAACATGAAGAAACCCTGTCTCTACTAAAAATACAAAAATTAGCCAGGCATGGTGGCGTGAGCCTGTAGTCCCAGCCATTATAAAGACCCATCTCATCCATCGAGAAAAATCAATTCAGATCTTGGGTCCTTAATATGAATGAATACCCATGAAGGTTTACTCACAAGAGGGAAACCACCTGTGTAACAGGAGGACAATGATTAAAAACCAAAAATGGACCCTTTAGGAAACAAGAGATAATCAGGGAACAGATAAGAACTTAGGGAGAAGGAAAACCTAATTGAAATCCTCAAGAAAATAAAAACACAGATGGGATGCTGTGAGTAAAAAACAAATAGGGAACAAAAAACACTCTTAGAAATTAAGACTTTAATAGTTAAATGTAAAACAAAGAAATCAATGGGTGGAGAAAAAGGTAAAGTGAAGGAAATCTCCCCAGATGTTACAGGAGGAGACAGAGAAGGGACGCATGGGCGAAAAAGGTGAGGAGCGTGGTCAACAAGCCCGCAAGGACCAGAAACTCCGTGAAGAGAAAGCGGAAGGATACATTTTTAAAACCAAACCAGAGGGAAAAAAGTATTTAAAAAAGAAGAAAATTTAAGGAGCCTAGACAGGACACAGGATTTCAATGGGAAGGGCTCACCGATTGCCCAGCACAGTGATAAAGAAAAACCCACCCCTGTATTGGTCCCCAGTTTAAAGAGAAGGTCCTAGAGCTTCCAGAAGGAAAAAAGTAGTATTGGTCCCCAGTTTTTGTTTGTTTGTTTGTTTGTTTTTGAGACAGAGTCTCACTCTGTCGCCCAGGCTGGAGTGCAGTGGCGCGATCTCAGCTCACTGCAAGCTCCGCCTCCCGGGTTCCCGCCATTCTCCTGCCTCAGCCTCCCGAGTAGCTGGGATTACAGGCGCCCACCACCACACCTGGCTAATTTTTGTATTTTTAGTAGAGATGGGGTTTCACCATGTTAGCCAAGATGGTCTTAATCTCCTGACCTCGTGATCCGCCTGCCTCGGCCTCCCAAAGTGCTGGGATTACAGACATGAGCCACTGTGTCCGGCCATTGGTCCCCAGTTTAAAGAGAAAGTCCTAGAGCTTCCAGAAGGAAAAAAGTAGAAGGCCTAGGAAGGAATGAAAGTCAGGTTTTCCACACACTTCTCACCAGTCACTTTGTGTGTTAGAAGGCAACAGAGCAGTGCCTTTCAAGTTCTAGAAGGAAATTTATTTTGAACTTAGATTGCTACAACCAGCCATGTCAATCACATGCGAGGGTAGAATAAAGACATTTTTAGACATAGAAGAATTCAGAAAGTTTACCTCCCAAATATACTTTTTTTAGTGAAAAAGAGCAAAAACCAAGAAAGAAGGTGGCTTGGGAATTCAGGAAATAGTGGCCCTAACCCAGGAAAGTAACAGAAACAAGTCCCAAGAAGACAGCCGTGAAAGAGACCCAGAGAGCAACCTGCCAGGCATGGGTAGGAGAGTGGAGGGCTCCCAAGGAAGGTCTCTGGAAGAAAAGGGAGTCTGTGCAATACATGGTACACCGTAGAGAGACTGGATAAAATTGAGGATATGATAAAGGCATTCAAGAAAAAAAGGCAACTAGAAACCCCAGGACTGGGCAGGAGAGTGGAGGGCTCCCAAGAAGATTTCTGGAAGAAAAGGGACTCCATGTAATACACAGAAATGGATCCCAGCAGATGGATTGGAAGGCAGACCAAAAAAAAAAAAAAGATAAAGAAACTCCAGGAAAAACAAAGAGCTGTATAATAAATGTTATAAATATGATGCAAACTAAAACATACCATGATTTTAAGAAACTGACAGTTAAAAAGAAAGAAAGAAAGAAAGAAAGAAACAAACAAACAAACAAACAAACTTGGCCTTGGTGCTACGATAACAAAAATGCTTAGATAATATGAACAGTCAGTCAATTGTAGGAAAAAAACACAATGGTCAATAAATATCTGGAAAGATGCTAAACCTCACCAATAGTTTTTTGGTTTTTTGGGTTTTTTTGAGACTGAGTCTCTCATTGTCACCCAGGCTGGAGTGCAGTGGTGCGATCTCAGCTCACTGCAAGCTCTGCCTCCCAGGTTCATGCCATTCTCCTGCCTCAGTCTCCCCAGTGGCTGGGACTACAGGCGCCCACCACCACTCCCGGCTAAGTTTTTGTATTTTTAGACAGAGTTTTTTTTTTTTTTTTTTTTTTTTGAGAAACAGTCTTCTTGCTCTGTCGCCCAGGCTGGAGTGCAGTGGCCGGATCTCAGCTCACTGCAAGCTCCGCCTCCCGGGTTTACGCCATTCTCCTGCCTCAGCCTCCCGAGTAGCTGGGACTACAGGCGCCCGCCACCTCGCCCGGCTAGTTTTTTTTTTGTATTTTTTTTAGTAGAGACGGGGTTTCACCGTGTTAGCCAGGATGGTCTCGATCTCCTGACCTCGTGATCCGCCCGTCTCGGCCTCCCAAAGTGCTGGGATTACAGGCTTGAGCCACCGCACCCGGCCTAGACAGAGTTTAGCTCTGTCAATCAGGCTGGATTCAGTGGCACGATCTCAGCTCACTGCAGCTCTGCTTCCCGGAGCCCACACCATTCTCTGCCTCAGCCTCCCAAGTAGCTGGGACTACAGGCACCCGCCACCACGCCCACCTAATTTTTTGTATCCTTGGTAGAGACGGGGTTTCACTGTGTTAGCCAGGATGGTCTTGATCTCCTGACCTCGTGATCCGCCCACCTCGGCCTCCAACAATACTGGGATGACAGGCCTGAGCCACCATGCCCGGCCCCTCACCAATATTTTTTTAAAGACACATTTAAAAAATGAAGAGACTTTGCCTGTTGGCTCAGGATGGAACGTTTCACACACTGTGGGTGATTTTGTTGCTGACACGGCCTTTCTGGAGGTCTCTTTAGCAGGATCTCTGTTAATGTAAACGCACACTCCCAAGTCACAATTAAACTGGCGACTGCAGGCACGGAGGCTCACACCTGTCATCTCAGCATGTGGGGAGGCCGAGGCAGGAGGATTGCCTGAACCCAGGAGTTCGAGACCAGCCTGGGCAACATGACAAAACCCCGTCTCTACAAAAAATATAAAAAATTAGCCAGGCATGGTGGCACATGCCTGTAGTCCCAGCTATTCAGGAGGCTGAGGCAGGGGGATTGCTTGAACCAGTAGTCTGAGGCTGTAGTGAGCCGTGATTGTACCACTATACCCCAGCCTGGGGCAATGGATCAAGATACTGTCTCGAAAAGTAAATAAATAAAATAAAATGACAGGCTGTTGACACCCACTATCAGGTATCACCTTACAGGTAGAAGGGAACTGGAGAGGCCTGCAGTCCACTCCAGACATCAGGCTTTCAGGGGAGACACTCAGGAAGCAATCCAGCCCTGCCGGGAGCCCCAGGAAGCCTCAGGACTTGGCTACCCCGGTGGCTTGGGGGCACTGATTCGGAGAATGCAGCCGCAGCTGGAAGGTCCCTGGGCCTCCTACCTGACCACAAAGCCCCCTCAGGAGGACTAGAAGCTCACTAAGGGTTTGAACAACCAAGGACTCAGCACACAGGGTTGGACCAATTACACTGAGGCCCCACAGTGTCCTCCCCAACCCCAGCCCCAGCCCCAGCACATAGACAGCGTCCTCCTGCCTGCAGACAGGAGACCAGGGTTCACCCCCAGGAACTTCCAGAGTGAGAGGTCCACCAGGAGATACATGGCCCACAGCAAGCCTTGGTGCACGCCTTTCCCAAGACAGATGGGGGTCAAGAACCAACATCTACGGGGCCAGGCGTGTTGGCTGACACCTGTCATCCCAGCACTTAGGGAGGCCAAGGCAGGTGGGTCACCTGAGGTCAGGAGCTCAAGACCAGCCTGGCCAACACGGTGAAACTCCATCTCTACAAAAAATACAAAAATTAGCCAGGCGTGGTGGTGGGCACCTGTGGTCCCAGCTACTTGGGAGGCTGAGGCAGGAGAATCGCTTGAACCCGGGAAGCAGAGGTTGCAGTGAGCCGAGATCGCGCCACTGCACTCCAGCCTGGGTGACAGAGTGAGACTCCGTCTCAAAAAAAAAAGTACAGCTGCAGCCAGCATCCCTCTCACCTCACCTTCCTAATTAGTGAAATGAACCTTTCTGGCTCCACAATCAATGTGCACCTTTTTTTGGCCAGGTGCAGTGGCTCACGCCTGAAATCCTAATACCAAGCCTGAGGCGGGAGGATCGCTTGAGCCCAGGAATTCCAGACCAGCCTGGGTAACACGGTGAGACCCCATTTCCACAAAAATTATTAAAATTAGCTGGGTGTGGTGGTGTACGCCTGTAATCCCAGCTACTCATGAGACCCAGGAGGTCAAGACTACAACACAGTCAGCCAACATTGTGCCACTGGACACCAGCCTGGCGGCAGCGAGACCCTGTCTCTCTCGTGTATATGAGGGTGCGGGGACAGGCAGACCCTGAAAGACACCGAGTGCATTTCCAGCATAAAGAGCAGGTGCCGTGATTCCCAGGACAAAGCCGTTTCTGCCAGTGCTGTTACGTGCCTGCAAATGCATGAAGAAGCCTGGGAGGCCACCAGACTGTCTTGATGGACCTCAGGGCCTGGAATTTACGAGCTGGGCTCACTGCAGACTTCGTTCACGTGTCTCTATGTTGGATTTCCACTCGCTCTCAGCAGAAATTATTTTTAAAATTAAAAGAATGGATATTGCCACTTTAAAGGTGGTAGAACAAGCCCTCGTGAGTTGGGTTGGAGGCAGCCTGGCACCAGCCCTACCTGCCCAGGATGAAGGCGATATAGATGAGAGACGAGAAATGGGTGAAGAACTGCAGTGTGAAGAAGCGGATGGTGAACCTGCTCTCTCGCTCTGAGTGGGTCCTGGGCATCTCTGGAACAGAACAGGCCCTTACCTCTCTCCCTGCTCATGGGAGAGGCCCTGGGGCAGCAGGAAGGGCCCCCTCCCTTGCTCTCTGACCACAGCTCCAACACCCAGCCCTGAGTCCTCCCACCGGGTCCCCCAAGAGGGCCTGGGGTCGTCCTCTCACCGAAGTCACAAAGCTTCAGGGCCACGTACTTGTTGATCTGCGGAGGAGGGCACCGAATGGGCTCACTGGGGCCACGGCAGACCCCCCAGCTCGCGCCTGCCCCACTCCCGGCCCCACCTTGGTCATGATGCTGATGGTCACATAGTGCACCAGGGCTCCGGTCACCACCACTGCCGTGGTCACCTGATCCTCCAGGAAGGGCAGGGCCGAGCTGCTGAAGAGTGCGGAGGCCAGGACGCGGTAGACCACCAGGATGTGGGCCATGCCGATAATGAGGCAGATCTGCGGGACGGCGGTGGTGGGTGGGGGCCAGGGCGGGTGCGCAGCCCGGGTCTCCAGCCCCACCGCGGTGTCCCCCGAATACCATGATGAGGGACAGGATGAGGATGACGGTGCTGCGCAGGTAGGAGTGCTGGTGCGGCTGGAGCTTGTAGTCAGGGCAGTTAATGAGCTGAAGTGCCATTTCCTCCTGGGGGGAGAGCACCAGGCAAGCCTCAGACACGGGACACGCCTCACAGGTGGACAGACGGGACACGTGCCCCCCATGTGGGGACACGGGCACAGGGACACGCCTCACAGGTGGACAGACGGGACACCACGCCCACCGCCAGGACAAAAGGCACAGGGACTTACGCCTCACAGGTGAACAGGCAGGGGCTTCCACAGCCACGTGAGGGCAAACCACGGATGCCTCCTGGGGACACGGGCACAGGGACACGCCTCACAGGTGGACAGACGGGACACACGCCCCACACGTGGGGAGACAGACACGGGACACGCCTCACAGGGGGACAGACGGGACACACACCCCACATGTGGGGAGACAGACACGGGACACACCTCACAGGTGGACAGACAGGACACACGCACCACACGTGGGGACACGGGCACAGGGACACGCCTCATGGGACAGACAGGACACACGCCCCACACGTGGAGAGACAGACACGGGACATACGCCTCAAACACGACAGGCATATGTAGGCCGTGCAGGGCACCAGGTGCCCACAGCCTGTGCCCAGGTCCGCCTCAGCTGTGCTGCCAGCTCCACCTCACCTGGTCTTCGTCCCACATGTACAGGTCCCAGTGCAGGACCACAGAGGCACGCTGCCGCTTCCAGATCTCCAGGAACACCGTGGCTGCGGTGGGGGCAAGGAGGGGCATCACTGCGCTAGGCCAGGTGGACCTTGGAGCTCAGGCTGGCACTTCCCCCGGCCCCGCAGAGGCGTCCCGCAGCAACTCACCCCAGAGAGCCATGAAGATGGCGAACACCACCGTGCCGTCATTGTCAAAGAGGTGGGTGAGCTGGGGGGGTGATGGGTGGGCCAGAGAGGAGACGGGTGAGCCGGGGAGGGCGGGTGAGCCGGGGGGGGGGGAGGGGGGGGAGGGGGGCGGGTGAGCGGTGGGGGGGTGATGGGTGAGCCGGGGAGGGGGAGCGGGGGCGGGTGAGCGGGGTGAGCCGGGGAGAGCGGGGGTGGGCTGGGGCTGGGCCTCCCCGTCAGCCCTCTGGGGAAACTGAGCAGCTCTGCAGGGCTCCAGGCCTTGGCCTCCCCACCACGGTGGGTGCACTGTGCCCATCTTCCGCAGGCCCTGGGGTGGACCCAGAGGTGACAAACCTTGGCGAAAGTGCAGGTTTCCGAGAGCCGCTGGTACCTGCGGCTGTGGTCGCCGAGGGGACACATGAGGATGTCGTGGGCCTCACAGATCTCCTTGCTGAAGGGGCAGGGATGAGGCTGGGGCCAGCTCCTCCTGGCAGCAGGGCCCACCCCGGACCCCCACGCCCAGCCCCTGCTGCAGCCCACCTGATCTGGCTGGCATCAAACAGCGAGAATCCGCTCAGAAAGACCAAGAGGCCTGTCAGGGCGGCCGGCACCAGCATGTAGTTGTACCAGCCCAGCCAGGCGAAGTACAGGGCCACCTTTTCCCCAAAGTAGTTCCTGCAGGCAGCAGCAGTCAAGGCCCGCTCTGCTTGGCACGTGGCTGTCAGGGGGTGGTGGGGGAGGGACGGGGGTGGGAGGGGGTGTGGGGGTGGGACGGGGGTGAGGGAAGGTAGTAGGGGGGGGAGGGACGGGGGTGGGGGGGGGGGGAGGGGGGGGAGGGGGGGGGGCGGGGGGGGGTGGGGGGGGGTGTGGGCAGTGCGGGGGCATCTTCTGGGTGGTGTGTGGAGGCGTCTACACGGGTGAGGGCAGCCGTGGTGGTGTGGAGGCATCCACAGGGGGTGGCAACTTCCGGGTGGTGTGTGTGGGTTAGTCTGCGGGGCTGTGGGGGCTCCCGTGGGTATCTGGGGGCGTCCGTGGGGTTCCTGTGATCTCTTTGGCCAGCGTTACCTGATCTCGTCAACTGGCTGCTCGCGGAACATGTGTCTCCAGCCTGCCCACGTCTTCTTCAGGTGTCCCTCCCCCTGGCTCGGATGACAGGGAATGAGAGCCCCCATCCCAGGGTCCCACCCCAAGGCTCTCTCCCGGCTGCCCACTCCTCACCTTGTGCAGGGGGAACTTGGCCTCGAAGACCCCGTCCTTTTCCAGATCCTCGAAGGTCTCTGTGGGTCACAGGGGCTCACGAGTCAGGGCGAGTGAGGTGCTGGGAGGAGGCTGCCCACAGCGCCCCGTCGGTGCCCCAGCCCTGCCCTCACCGCCAGCCGAGGTCTTGGTCTTTATGACAACGAAGTCCACGATTCGGATTCTGAGATTCAAGAGCCAGAGCAGGGTGGACCGTGTGACCACAGTGGACCCTGCCTCCAGGTCTCGACCTGCCCTCTGGTCTGGCCAGGCCCAGGCCCCTCCCTGTCCTGGCGGAGCCCCCAGCCTGCCAGCCCTGACCAGAACCCAGAATCCACAACCTACCCGGGAGCTCCCCCCGCACCCTCCTTAAAGTGCTCCCGGGGCCTGGCCTGCCCCACGGTGTCCAGGATGAGGCTGGGCTGGGGGCTTCCTCTCCTCCCAGCCTGTCCCTCCCAGAATCCCAGACCACAGCCCCCACCTCCAACCACACCTCCCACCTGCGGGCCCCTTGTGTCCAGAGCACACCCCGGCCTTTATCCGCACACACCCTCCTTATACCCTGGGAGCTGTTCTGTTCTGTCTGTGCAGAGACTGGGGCTCAGGAAAGGGAATGTCCCGAGGCCACACAGCCACGAAGCAGCACAACTAGGTGTCCGACGGCAGAGCCGGGCTCCGAGCCTCCCCCTGTGCCTAGAGACATTGCTCCTGGACACCCCAGGGCACGTCGCAGGCACGCGCCCCCTCAAGCCACCTCCCCTCCTTTGATGCCCCCTCATGACCCCCCAAGACCCACAGCTCTCTGTTCACGGATGTTCACGGATGCCTCCACTGCCCCCTCCACTGCCTTGTGACCACTGCCAGGAGTGTCCTTGACCAGTCCACAAAGCAGGCTCTGGCTGAGCCCTGCGGGGCCTCTGGGCAGGGCTGGGCAGGTCATGGGGGCATGGAGGGCCAGGCTTGGAGGCTCCCTCCTGGGCTGGAGGACTGGGGAGAAGCAGGGCCTGAGGGAGTGAGGAGGCTGTCCCTGCCAGGCCTCTGGGTCTGTGCCTGGGAGGCCAGGGACAGTGTCCAGGAAGGGGCATCAGACCTGGAGAGGAGGGGTCTTCAAGAGACACTGGCCTTGGTCCAGGAGGGGCCACTGGGCCTCTGCAAACCCTGCCCACCCCCTAAGGCTGGCTCTGACTCTGTCCCCAGGAACGCAGGCAGCCACACGGGGCCCTCAGAACGCTCTGAGAGGTGAGAACCACCATGATCCTTTATTGGGATGGGGAAGCTGAGGCTCACACAGCCGGTGGGTCTCACACCTGTGGCCCCTGCCCTGAGACCACGCGGCTGTCCTGCCTTGGCGATGCCCGGAGCCTGACACTGTCTCCTGCCCAGTCTGGACCAAGCACACAGGTGGCATGGGGTCCTCCTGGCCGCGGCTCTGGGTCCAGCCTCTCACCTCGTGGCGACCGGGATGGGGGTCGGCGCGGCCAGCTCGGCGTGGGGGGCAGGCCCCTCGGGCTCCAGGAGGAGGGTGCGGTACAGGTCGAAGATGCTGTTGTCAGCACGGATCCCAAAGAAGACCCGTTTCTGGTCCTGTGTCCTCTGGGGCTGGGGGGCACACGGGACCCTCTATTCCACCTCCAAACCTTCCCTACCTCTGCAGCCCTGGCCCAGACCACGGAGCCTCCTCGCTTCTCACGCCCCTGCTTCTCCCCAGTCCTCCAGCCCAGGAGACAGCCTCCAAGCCTGGCCCCCCGTGCTCCCGTGACCAGCCCCACGCCCCCTGCCCCTCGCTGGGCACCAGCCCACCTTGGTGCGGAAGCCTTTTCTCCTGAGCTCCTCCAGGAACTCCTCTTGCCGGGGGTCTCCCTGGGGGCGATGTTGGGCCACGAGGACATAGTCCCACTGCTCAGAGGCCTCGGCCTGCAGGGAGGAGGCACCGAGCCAGGTGCAGGTGAAGGGGCAGGACAGGGCCAGGCGGGGCCCGGGAGGGGCCCACGGACACCCACCTCACAGGTGCCGATCTCCATCAGCGGGAAGCTGTCCCCTTCGGGCTCCACCAGGATCCGGAGGCTGTCTTTGCCCTGGGGTTTTGGGGGCAGAGAAAGGGATAGGAGGATGTGATTGGGGGCAAGAGGCCCCTCATTGGCGGGTCCCTGCGTCAGACCACATAGTCACACACTGTCCTTCCCCACAGCGAGAACAGCAAAGAGTCCTGCGGAGTCGGCTGTAGGCGGGTGACAGGCCAGAGGGCCAGGACCTGCTGCAAACAACCGACAAGACTGTGGAGACGGAAGCACGTGAGGGTTCCTGCAAATGCAAAAGGGAAGATGCAGCCCACAGAGGCCGGCAGGATTGTACGGAAGAGGAGCATGGTGAGCAGCTAACAGGGGAGGCAACGGGAACGCCAGAACAGCCAGGGAAATGCAGGTCAGAGGACCAGGAGACGCCGATGCGGGGAAGAAGCCACAGGCACCCCTGCACACTCCCGGTGCTGTGCGTATCAGAGCACGGGTTTGGAAACCTGTTGGACTGTTTAAAATCTAACGCTCCCAGCCCCTGGCCCAGCCCGTCCACCCCTGGAGGTGCAGACAAGGGCACTCACAGCGGCCCCATTTCACATGAGGTCCCGGGGGCTGGGCAGACGGATGGACACCATGCCATCCTCACACAGGGAGGGTCCTGCAGCAGGCGAGGTGAGTGCCTGCAGAGCACAGTGGACAGGGCTCCCGCGGGGTGACTGCCACAGGCACATCCCAGCAGACACAGGGACACGAGAGTCTGGGCAGAACCTTCCGGAGGAGGGGAATTTGCAGGGCCTCAGAGCGTCCCCCTGATATTTGTCAATTACTGAGGCAGTCTCCACGCCGTCTCTGGCTGCATCACACCCGGTCCCTGCACCTGAGTCCTTCCCCTCTCCCAGCTGCATCCTCGCCAAGCTCAAGACCTGCCTCCTCCGGAAAGTCTCATTTGACTGCTTGAGCCTGTTGGCCCTTGAGGGCTGCCAGGTAAAACAGAGGCCACCCAGTCACACTTCATTTCCAGATAAACAACACAAGGATGTAGTATAGATAGGGTAGGGTAGGGTAGGGTAGGATAGGATAGGATAGATGCCCCAGTGATGGCATGGGACACGCCTACACTAAAAATGTTGTTTATCTGACATTCAGCTTGACTGGGTGTCTGTTTCTTTTTTTTTTTTTTTCTTCTTCTTTTCCTTTTTTTTTTTTTTTTTGAGACCGAGTTTTCCTCTTGTTGCCCAGGCTGGAGTGCAGTGGTATGATCTCGGCTCACCGCAACCTCCGCCTCCCGGGTTCAAGCGATTCTCCTGCTTCAACCTCCCGAGTAGCTGGAATGACAGGCGCCCACCACTGCACCCGGCTAATTTTGTATTTTTAGTAGAGACAGGGTTTCTCCATGTTGGCCAGGCTGGTCTCGAACTTCCGACCTCAGGTGATCCGCCCACCTTGGCCTCCCAATGTGCTGGGATTACAGGCATGAGCCACCGCGCCTGGCCCTGTTTCTTATTTTGTTTTGCTAAGTCTGTAACCCTAGTCAAGGTCTGCCCTCCAGCCCCCACCCCACACACGCACACCAGGAGCTACTGGTTCCGGGACAGGTCTCCCCATTCTCTCTACCGTCTCAACCACAGAAGCCAGGAAATGCATCCAACCAACCCCAGAATGGGAGGCTCTCAGGCAGGGGATTGGTCCACAGCTAGTATCAGTCCTCGGCCAGTCAGGAACCGAGGAGAGCAGGAGGTGAGCAGGGGGTGAGCAGGGGGTGAACAGGGAGTGAGCAGGGGGTGAGCAGGAGGTGAGCAGGGGGTGAGCAGGGGGTGAGCGTTCCTGTTCCCGCCTGGGCTCCGCCTCCTGTCAGATCACCAGCGGCATCAGACTCTCGCAGGAGCGAAGGAGCGAGAGCCCTGCTGGGAGCTGCACATGCAGGGATCTCAGCTGCTCCTTATGAGAATCCAGTGCCTGATGATCTGAGGTGAGACAGTTTCATCCCAAAACCATCCCACCACACCCACAGCTGTGGAAAAACTGTCTTCTGTGAAACCGGTCCCGGGTGCCGAAAAGTTTGGGGAGCGCTGCTCTGAGGCATCCAACGCCCCGGTCACAGGGAGACAGGCTCCGCAGACACCATCTCAGTGCCCAGCGCCACACTGCAGCCTCCCTGGGGCTCTGAGGCGTCTGAAGCCCCGGTCATGGCGAAATGGGCTGCGCAGACACCATCTCAGCGCCCAGCGCCACACTGCAGCCTCCCTGGGTGGGGAGGTTCTTGCCCTAGTTGGCCCACGGGGCTCACCTGGCTCTTCTGCCCCGTCCTAGACCAGCAGTTCTTCCTGCCTCAATCAGCCCTTCCTCTGACTCCCTGCCTGGCCTTCCCAACAGCCCACGGACAGATACCTGCGCTCAGGTGTGGCATGCCACACTGAAACTTCTCCCCCGTCCTGGGTCAGAGGAGAAACCTCCATCCTCGGACAGATATGCAGGGAAGGGCGTGGCACCTGCCCAGGCAGGAGAGGCACCTCTGTCTCAGTGCAGAGGGCAGCCTCGCCCGAGGGGACTGGTGGCCCAGGGGACGTGGGCGTCACCGCTCTGGCTCTGTGGCTTGCCTCCGTAGGAGCCCGGGAAGTGTGTCAGTGGGGTTTGTGGGGGAATGGCCCCTCACATGCCTGGCTTCAGACCCAGGATGAGGGTCCCTCCTCCGCCCAGAACCCCAGCTCCTCTGGCAGATGCTGAAATTAGAGACCCCCTCCCATCAGCCTGGGCCCAAAGCTGAAAGCAGGCAGGATAAGCCCAGACCCCTGAGAAGGAAGGGACGAGGCAGGGACCCCAGACTAGGCAGGACTTTCAGAGAAGCCTGGGAGAAGGGACTGTCCTTGGGGATCACTCTCAAAGGTCAGGGTGGGAAGTCATCCTTCACCCCAGAAATGAGGCACAGAAACCTCTTCCCCACCAAAGACATCGTGCAGCCCTGGGGTGATGACC